CCCCCAAAAACAAACCACTTCCTTCTACAAAAATACCTTCTCTTCAAAAGATCTCCATGCTCCAAAGACTGGATTCAACTATCCACGCTGTTCAAACGCTCCTCAGGGCCCTCCTGCTGGCCGGCGGTACCAGACACTGTGCTTCAGAAAGCAGAAGTGTGTAAAGCCACCAGCTTTTAAATCCTGCCTCTGAAATCCATGACTCAAGTTGCTGAACACCTTCGGAAACTACCACCTACTCACCCAGAAGCGAGACGGTTCGTGTAGTCAGGGACGACCTTCTGCATCGGAAATCACCAGCTGCTACTGGTGAGAGGGGGGTAATTCCAAGAACTCATCCATGCAGGCAAATCTAAGGACACACGGCTTGACACAGAGGGGGTTAGATCGGCTGTCACAGTTCTTCAGTGGGAGACTTTTGCTTTCTGAATCCACGGGCCTTACTTTCTGTTTTTTTCTTTTTAAAGACAAGGTCTCATTCTGATCTTGAGAAACTGTCTGATCAAGCCACCAACTGAAAACCTGCCATTATAAACCAGGGATTTCACAATGCTCATTCCAAAAATCTGCGGCTATTCATTTCTGGAAGTGACTCACTGAGGAAGAACGGCTGTTGAGGGTGGGAGGGAGTGATCATTTTTAGGAGACAGCCTGCACTCTGGGAGCTGAGCAGAAACCCCGGAGTAGCTACCACGTGTGCTCACCGACCCCAGCTCAGCTCCGAGTCACTCTCGCTCCGGATGACGCGCAATGACCAGTCCTCTCGTGAAAGCCACTTGATGGACAAAAAGGCCTTTGGGCTGTGCACCCACCCACCCACCCACGAGGACAGCCTCGTGCCTGCCCCTCGGGGGGCTATTTTCACACACATCAGGAGAGAGGCAGCGGCACTTGCCACCTGTCAGGACTCCAAGGCTGGTGAGTAACCGGCATGCAGAGACCACTTCCTGTGAGTATCTCCAAAAGACCTCATGCTATTTCCTTTAGAAAAATAAGAAGTGAAAAGGAAAGCTTCCTACAAAGGAAGGAGGAACAACAGCGAAGCCCAGAACTTGCAACGTGATCGCTGTTTACCCAGCCACACCTAGTTTTAATTTGGTTTCCCAACCCCTGTGTAATTAAGACAGCCAAAGAGAATAGCATGGGGGGGGGGCGTGATTCACAAACGTGTAGACCTTCTGAGCGCGTGACCAGAAAAGTAATTTTAAGATTCAAGAGAACCAATCTGAAGCTGGCTGGAGCGTTAACCCTTGCAGAAAGAGAAAGTTGTTTTTGTCCCCAAATTTCAAACACAGAATCTCTTTCCTCTCGGATGACATTAACCAGACTCTACCCTAGGTCAGTGAAAGACAGCATGCTTTCAGACCTGTCTGAGGGGACAGTCACACCAACAGCAGCAGCCCATGTGTCTGTCATCTGACACTAAGGTGTCCTTTGAAACTGCGAACAGAATATGACGTTTTGTGTTTTGCCAAAGCTATTCATTTATGTCACATGGGAGGGAGTGGGAAGCAGAACCGCCCCGATTCCTGGTAAAGGCAGGCCGTCAACAGTGAGGGCTTTTCCTGAGGACACTGAGGGTCGTGCTGATAGAAGAGGAGCTTGCCTGGCTTTTATTTTCCCGCTGCTAATGTGCCTTTACTTTGGGTGTCAGGGGCGGGCGTGGGGAGAGCTGTGAGTCAAGGCTGGAGCGGGGGGCACCAGCATCGGCTGGAGGCAGATGCGGAGTGGAGAGAGACCACGTCCCACCTGCCTGCATTTCAGTGCCTTTGGGTGTTGGCCCTGGCTCTTCTCTCCCTTTCTGGATACCTGCGATGGGACGAACTGTTTCTATACTTTTTACAAACAGTTTTGTTGTTGCTTGCTTTTGACAGTACTGGGTGGGGATTGAACTCAGGGCTTCACACACTCTAGGCGAGCCACTCTACTGTGGGGCTATATCCCCAGACTATCAAACACACATTGTTCAAGAGTATGGGAACCATTTCCACAATGGAAATAGAATTTACAGGTTGAGGGCAAGGCAAATGGATCTATAACTGGAGGTGAGAACAAACACTGCCTATACCACATTACACTCATCCCTTCTGCCCTCGCCTGTGAGACCTAATGAATGTCCTCAGAGAGAGAACAAGGCTCCTCTACATGGAGAACCAGCCAGTTTTAGAAATCCCATTGCTACTAGACTGGTGAAGGGGAACCCTAATTGGCATTCTCAGGATGGCTGAAATGCTCCAATGTCTCATTTCCCCTCTTGCCAACAGGACGCTTCCCTCCCCAGTGTCGAACACATAGCGGGCTAGATCTCAATGGCTGTGTGGCTCGCTGGTCCTGGCCTGTCTGATTGCTGACCAGGGCAGTCTTGGGAGGTCAGTGCAGAGGTTTTAGAAGGAGAAAGGGAAAGTCAAGCCAAACCAGAAGATCACAAAGCAGAAGCTAGGGAGGAGCCGAGAACCCGCACTGAGCATGGAGCGAGCAGCTTGGAAGGTCACGGCCGTCCTTGAGAGGCGTGCTCGCTTGGGTATTCCAAGGCTGGACACTCAGAATGGGACCGAATTCCAAGGCGGCTCCAGGTCTTGTTGTCACTTGCACTGTTGTGGACACTGTTCAAGTGTACGAAGTCCACCCTCTTCAAACAAAATAAAACCCTGACACGAAAGCACTTGTCTACTTAACATTTACTCAGACTTCCCCTCGGAACAGTGCAAACAAGCGGACTCTGAGACACAGTGGCCTCACGCAGGGAAGATGCCAGCCCTGGGTTCCAGCTCCTTTTACTGGTCTGCTCTTACGAAGGTTACCCAACCTATTCAGGCCAGTTTAATCATCCATGACACACAGGCCTGGCTCAGGTACTACCCAAGCGATTTTCAAAGCAACCCTACAGGCTAAGGTCTGTTATTACCCCATCCTACAGATAAAGGAGCCAATCAGCTGATAGTGGAGACAGCACTCAGTCAAGAGAGCTTGACATTCGCTTGTTCTCCAGAGCCTGCCAGCCACCTCCAATGGGGTGCCCAGAGTGACAGAGCACCAGGGGAACCGCCACCTAAAAGCCACAGAGCGGCCCTAACTAGCCGGGTTTTTGAACATGTCACTTGCAAACATCGTTTTCTACAAACTTTAATCAAAATTCCTAACATTAAGTGCTAACACAGGTCTAGAAGTGAACAGCTCAGTCTGTCCACAGTGAACAGCCTTGTGTGTCTTACAAACTTTGACTGCCAGATCCGTGACACCGAATGTGAGAAGCAGAAAGATTCAGATGACCTGTTTTCAATCAGGGTGGACAAAAGGTCTCAAATCTGGGCCTTCACATCTACATCCTTGCTCACTGATCCAACAGAACCCTGGCCGAAGCTGTCAATGCGTAAGGAACCAGATGCCTTAATCTCTCCGATGTCCATTTACCTCTGGGAAGCATGGGCAGTGTTGGTGTGAGCTCTATGATGCCCACCTGCCCCACCCAGGCCTGAAAAGGAAGAATCCTTCTCCCTTTGGGCAGGTTTTTTCTCCAAGGAAAAGCATCTTCTGGCAGAAAGCCCCACTGACTAGGAATATAATCGAGGTCTACACAGCTCTTTTCCATCTGAACTTGATCGGCTATATCCTTCCTGGTGTCCCAAGTGCCCGTCAAGCAGGTGGTCTAAGGTGGCACTTGGGAGTCCCCTTGCTTTCAGCGTCCTTTCAATCTTCAAGCAGAAGGCCCTCCCTTAGTTCAATGCCATGTACATTTGTACTTGGTCTAGAATGTTCCACGTAGAATCATCGTGTGATTTGATCTCCCTCTCCTCCCCTACCGCACTTTAACGGTTCTGTATCATGTTGGGTCACGGGGGAAAAATACTTTAAAATGTCTTCCTAAACCAAAGGTGTTAACAACGTTCTGGTGTTAGCTTCATCTAAGACCAAGTAGCAGCTGTCTGCAAGATGCTGGAAAGCCAATGTGCGTTACATTCATAAGGCACAACTCCCCCACCCAAAGACTTCTTTGGTGTGAAAAGTCCCTCCCCGCACTGTAGTCACAAGATCAAGATTATTTACAATCCTATCTTAACCATTCACACTCATTTCCTGTCATAAAAACCTGAACCTGGATGGGGTATTAGATCAACCAAGCAAAAACTCCAGGTAAGAAGTGACTGTAGGTACAAGTTTCAAGTTCATATCCTACTCTACAAAGGGGGTGACTCACTCACTCTTGGGAAACCTGTATCACACTTGGTCATCTTAGGTGACTAATCCCATTATGGCCCAGAAGGAGCTCTGAGGGCCTTTTCTCCTGAGCACTGTCCTTGGGGGGCTCTGGAGTGGCTGAAATTCACATTCAGAATCCATGGCCCAGACGTGAAAATGGTGACAACCCAAAGAAGTCTATGGGATAGATATACCTATTTTAAAGTCACGTGCAAATTTTCCTATTTCTAAAAGAAAACCAGCTTCGAAATAGGCTTCTCTATGATAGTGGGAAAAGCAGAACCAGTGTACACAGGACTGAAAAACCCTAGGCGGACAGATCTGTTTACAAAACAGGCCTGGCAAAGTCTGTCCCTCCGTGCCACAGCAGGATGCAGCCAACACCACACACACACACACACACACACACACACACACACACACACACACACACACACACGAAGCTGGGGGCTAGCCAGGCTTTCTGATCAAGGTTTGGGTTTGTGATTCCACTGGGCAGTATGTAATCCCGGGCCCAGGATTGAAATACACATATTCACACAACTGCCCACAGACAGACGCACACTCACACAATCACAGACACACATTCACAATCACACACATTCTCATTACACAAAGACACACATGTAGACATACTTAAGTACACCATTTCCACTCTTCTCCAACACTGGTCTCCAAAAGTTACTTCTTCCCTGTATTACCTGCTTCGATGCAGAAACAACACCCATCACATTTTGCTTGTTTTACCTTGATCAGATGACCAGCCTTCCGGCAAGGCCTTGGGGATGACTGCGGGCACTCACCTTCATCCTCACCGAGTCAGGCCTGTTTGTCACCAAGTCTAGACAGTCACTCTCCACTCTGCTGCCTCATCTTCTCCCCCACACACCTTTGACCTCTGTCACGTGTTCCTGGAGGAGCAGGCTGGTCCTTTCAACTGGTCACTTGCCGACCGGTGGCTGCGGCGGAAGGCAGGGTAGGTAACCAGAAGTCACTGAGTGTCCATACCTACTGCATGAAGAAAGTGGCTGTCAAATGACCCAACCAGGACACTCAGAGTCACAACCATAACCTCTTGAAATTTAGTTTCTCTGGTTACCATACTCCACAAGAATCTTTAGTTATTTTGCTGGGTCTATATAGAGAAAAAAAATTATGTCTGTCATTCTCCAAGTTTTCATTTAAAATTTAAAAGAAGTATGAAAATTTAATACAAAATATTAAGTCACTAAGAAGCCAGAGGCATATGGTGAAACTATCTCAAAAAACCACAAACACTAATTGCCTTCACAAGGACAGTGCTTTTGAGCTGCGAGTACTCAGCTATGAGCACTGTGGATAGCTGTAAGTACTGAGCCATGAGCACCGTGCGTTTCTGGGGGTTTTACACACACAGGTTCTAGTACTTTGATGCAGAGTGCGCAGCTGCGGCACTTGCTACTCCGCGCTGAAGATCAAGAACTTGGGGGTTTGCGGCAGGCGAGACGGCACAGTTGGGCGGGGCGCTTGCCACCAAGCCTGATGACGGGAGTTCGACCCTGGGGAACTAACGTAGGAGGAGGGAACCGACTCTTGACTTTCACAAGTGTGCTGGACCATGTGCACAACCCTCCATAAATGACAATAAAACAGAGCACGACGAAACCACTGGAGTTCTGTTACATGCCCAAGATTACATTAGCTGTCACGTGTCGGGAATGACATACAAATCTATGTGAGGCTGATCGTACAGGCCACTGGAGCACACCGAGTCCCTCCCTTAAAGCACACCAGGGAGAGGACCTGGTCTGCAGAGTGCTTGCTGTACAAGCACGGCGACCAAGTTCAGAGCCTAGTGTTCACATAAAAGCTGTGCATGGCGGTGACACATCCTGTAGGGCCAACACTGGAGGGTGGGGAGGGAACATGGAGACATGGCACTGGGGTTTGGTGGCCAGCCGGCAGAGCCAAAACAGAACAAACAAGGTGTAAACAAAACTGGAGGGCTCCAGATTCAGTATGAAACCATGTCTCAGTGGGTATAAGGCCGAGTGATAAACAGAACACACCTGACACTCTCATCTAGCCTCAGAGGTAAGTGTGGGCACGCGCGCGCACACACACACACACACAGAGAGAGAGAGAGAGAGAGAGAGAGAGAGAGAGAGAGAGAGAGAGAGAGAGAGAGAGAGAGAGAAAAGACAATACCATACTCTCGGGGTGGGGGCTCTCTGAGGAATCAGCTCAATCCCTGTAGCTACCACTTTGCATTAGGAAGTGAAGTCCACCCTAATTATGTTGACAAACACAGTCATGTAGTGTCAGCCTTGCGTTACCAGTGTCTCTCCTCGTTCACCTTGACTAACACCACAGACTACAGTGAAAATTCAGTACAGTCAGCTTGTAACGGGAAACGGGAAACTTTCCTCAAACTGACATAAAGGACACTGTGTGTACAGAAGACCTCTGCAGGCTTAAGGGAGAGATAGTCCAACAGAGACGATAAGAAAGCGAGACTTTCATTTTTTATTAAGAGAATAGCTTGTATATTTAAAAAAATTAAGTGAGGGACTTGAGAAAATTTCAAGTGCTTCTACAAAAATCACTCTCTCTAAAGTCAAGTCTAGATATCAACATTCGATCTTTGTCCGAAGAAATAACATGACGATATCATGTCTCAAATCTTTCTCACATAATGAAAAGCAAATGAAGTATTTCCTATGACATACTATCTTAATAAAGCAGTTGATTCAATTTTGAGTCAGTTTACATTGGGATACCTTCAGGTAGCATGGGCCTCCTCAAACAGTAGGAAGAGAAAGACCTGACCATCTGTGAATCATGCTCAACTCCAGCACACAGCTAGAAGGTGATACTCCGGTTTTCTCCTTCATTCCAACAGCCCCAGGCTGACCTACTCTGCAACAAGCCCGAAAAAGGCAAGTTCACCTGCTCCATATACCACTCTACCTCTACACCAAGCTGTTAGGCTGGCCTTGTGCAAGCCCTGCCTGCAAACATAAAACCAGACTTCACCTAGTGCTCAGTCTAAGTCATCATCTGACGTGGCTCAATCATGACATGGACTGCATCTAGTCTGTCTTTACCCAGCCATCTGAAGATCTCCACTTTCTTCCAGAAGAGCTGGGGATCAAGAAGAATTTTGTATTACAATAATCTACTGTGAAAAGGTCTCATCAGTCAGGGGTGATGGCACAGCTTTGTAATCTTAAGGCCTAGGAGGATTGCTGTGAATGTGAGTCCAGCCTAGGCTACAAAGTCACCTCTAGGCCAGCCTTGGCTACAGAGGGAGACCATCTCAAACAAATAATCTGGGTGTGGTGGCACAGATCTGTAATCTCAGTACTCCAGAAGCAGAGGCAGGAGAATCACAGGTTCCAAGTAAGCTATGGGAGCATAGAGAGAGCGTGTCTCAAAAACAAAAAACAAAACCACCAACCCCACAAAAACTCACCTATATATAAAATGCTCCAATGAGCCAGGTGTGCCGGTTCACACCTACAATCCCAGCACGAAAAAGGACTAAACTGAATTTGAATCTAGTCTGCGTTATACAGCAAAACCTTGTCTCCAAAGCAAGGCCTCACTTTATCAAAACTCTGACATAAAATGTGCATACATATACTGTGTATGTATTAGATTAAGTGGTTTGGTTTTCTGCCAACATCCTTCAGTCCAAGGTTTACAGGAGGGGTATTCAGAGAAAGGCTGAATGGGATTTCTAATGCAAAACCTCAAACACATAGTGATTGGTCTCAAACAACCCTGAAATACAGTGTGGTTTGCCATACTCCTGCTTTTCCTAGTGACGCCAATATTCACCTTTGAGGCTCATAATGTAAAGTGGACTTCCATGCCAAAAAGAAACTCAAGGAAGCATGGCACTCAGGCTTAGGTTGGCTGATCTGAGGCAGCCATTACCGTAAGGGGCCAAAACATGATCAGGGAGCGTTCTGTCACACAGGATTATGGTGTTTGCAGTAGAGGTGGGAGCCCTTCCCTAAACACACGGTTCTGATTTACTCCGTCTGCTCCCTCTTCCCAAAGCAAAGCACTGCTCTTCATAAAAGCACAAACAAACAAGAGTACACACATGCTAAGTAAGAAGAGTGAGGAATTCAGCTTAAAATGCACACACACACAAATGTCTTTATGGAACTCAGAAATCTGAGGCTGGGGGTGGGAGTGGGAAGTTGGATGAAGGAAAGGTGGCCTGTGACATGAGTCTTGATTCCAAAAAGGACTTTTTTTTTTAAAGAAGGCATTTGTTTTCCAGAAGGGACCCTGCAGTACTGACCTGAGGTGGCGTAATGATGTTGTTGAGGCTGCTAATCAAGGCCGATGCTAATGATATTCCCCGATTCAGAGACTGCACAGGAGCTGAATGCACAAGCAGCTTGGCCCAGCAACTTGGCCTAGCCATTCAGTCCTTGGAGGCTGTGGGGCCTAAGCTTGAGACGCCTGGGCGGAAGGTTTGTCTTGGAGACCATTCAGGGAACAGCATTTGGTTTCCTCCATTTAACCAGGTCACCCAGGCATGGAATGCACAGCTCTGCCAGACAGACATTTTGGATGCCTGAGCCTGTAGAGGCTACTGATGCAGAGAGAGGCCACGGTTTCCTTTCGCTCTGTGCTGAATGGCAGCCTTGACGTCACGACTAGGAATCATTGGAGGGACAAATATCAAGGCACAAGCCAAATGGACTTCCCTCTGTCCCAGCGGCAGGGCTATTTTAGTCTCGCTCAGACACCTTCTGGGGCTGCAGAGCCCTGGTACAAGCAGAGACAAACGCATGCAGCTTACACAGAAAGGCAGCCTCTGGACAAAGGAAACGCCAGGGGAGGCTGTGTTCAAAACCCTTGATCAATCCCAGTTCCTGAGTTCAACTTGTTTCTGACAGAGTAGCCTTCCTGAGGGAGGCCTGCAGCCATTGGGGGGAGTTGTTCAGATCTCTGTGGGGGTGAACTTCCCCAGTGTGTAAAGGTCAGCCTCGTTCAGAGGGATGACATACACACTCTGGAGATACCAGGTACTCATGAAAGCAGGTAGTCTCAGCACAATACAGATATCATTTCAGAGATTTTAAGTTTGAGCAAGTAAATACCCATGGTAGCACCCAGCTGGTCTAAGCCAATGGGTGAAAAATGCGAGATGTGGCAGCAGAAACTCTCCGTTAGTTGCAAGTTGTCTGTGTAGGTCAGTTTCAACTTTACACTGAAACTACGAATTACGTTTAGCTATGTGAATGTCAGGTCATTTCTTTCCATTATAAATGCATTGCTAAGTACGGACATCACGGGCAATCTGCAGCTGGGATGCAATGGACTGGCCCTGCAGGAGTGCTGGAGTGCATGCAGGGCAGCTCCTGGGCTTGCCTGACTGGAGGTGTGAGGACAGGATGCAGGGTACCCAAGGCAACGCGAGAAGTCTTGGAGGAATAATGCTGAGAGGCTCTGTCACTTTTAGCAGCTTTTTGGAACCCAGCGTTCCCAGAGCACTCTTGTGAGGTCCCCATGTCAGGCTTATTTCAAGAGAAGGATCTGCTATGGAGAGCCAAGGCTTCCCAAGCCAGAAGGTGAGATTCCGATCCAAGTTCCCCTCAGGGTTGGTTCTGTCAACCACCAGCATCTATAGGACGCTAATGACCTCACCTAGGCAGGTAACAAATGCGGGGTTCTTGGTTCTGTTGCCTAAGAAATACCCCCAAGTGTGTTTTGTCTTCACTGATAAAGTAAGCAAGGAAGGAGACTAATGCTCTTAAAATGAGAAGGGACAAGTTCTTTTTAACTGCCGATTTTCTTCAGACAGGGGTCACCCTCAAGAGGTCAAATCTTAGTCTAGCTTCATGTGGCTCTTCTATTTCAAGAGGTAGAAGTTCCAGTGGCCCTACCGTTTCCAGAGGCCTACAGTTTAAGAACTGTAATTAAATTTCTTCTGAACTCATTTATTACACTTCAAGTTCTCAAAAAGAGAATGATGGGATTTCTCAAATCATTGCATGCCCAGAGGG